GAACAAAAAAACAAAAAAATTTTAATTTTCCGTAAACAGCTCAAAACGAGTCAAAATATTTTGAAAACTTTAAAATGGAAAATGATAAAATTAACACATTTTGTAAATTTTAAGGTTCTATGGTCATTTATTTTTTAATTACTACATTATAAGAAAATCGTTCTACGAGAAATAAATTGAATATCCAAAGTTGTTAAATTATGAACTTTCAAACGCTCATAAAAATTTAATTAGACTTTTTAATAGACGTTTTGTTTTTGATAAAAGTAGACAAACTTATAAGGAATATTGTATTAAATTTTCAAATTTTATATATGAAACGAAAAATTTTGACGAATTCCTACTCAAAATAATTTGCAAATATTCATGTTTTTTTGTTTTGAATTTTGTCATTATTCGAATTTCTGGTTAGGTTAGGATGCTCATAAAAAAATATCGTGAAATTATGTTGAACTTTTTTTTAATTTCCACTTTCAAAAACTTATRATTAACCTTGTATTAAATTTGTGCGTCATTTTTTTATCTACATTGATTAAAAAACTAATAAATATTGAAAATTTTATTTTCCCATACATACTTCAACATATTAAGTCAAAATATTTTGAAAAGTGTAGGGTKTATTGAAAGTGCTAATATAAACATTTATTCAACAAATTTYATTTACTTTGGTAATATTTTTGAGAGTTATATCAAAAACCAAAATTGAAATTGTTGAATACCAATTTCATGTAAAAATTCCTGTTTTTCCAATATTTATTTGTATTTTTCTAGGTGCTTTTGAAACCTCATGTCTCCATAATTACATTAATGAGTTATCATTTTGTTTTAATGGAATAACATTAATAATTTATTATTACTTAAAAGGATTCAATGAACACGTTAAGACTTATAAGTTTATTACATTATATTTTGTATTTTATAGGTATAACAGAAAAAGTCCCATATTTCAAATCTATAAGTGTTGGCGCCGTTTGGTTATCGCCAATATTTCTCTCGCCACAAAATGATTTTGGATACGATATTTCAGACTACAAAGAGATCGATCCTATTTATGGCTCAATGGCAGACTTTGAACGTATGAGGGATGAGTTTCACAAACATGGTATGCATTCTTATTTCTAATATTTTTTTAAAAATTACATAATATATTTCTGATTCTTACACACAGGCATAAAGATCTTATTGGATTTTGTGCCTAACCACACGAGTGATGAACACGAATGGTTCCAAAAATCAATTAAAAAAATAGAACCCTTCAGTGACTATTATGTATGGAAAGATCCGATCCGTGATGCACATGGAAATCWCACCGCTCCGAGTAATTGGGTGAGTAATAAAGATATTTCACTTATTGTGAAATATAAATTCACAGATGGCACAGATTCGCTTTTATTATGTATCATATATGAAAGTTACAGTGAGAGTATTTAAACTGATTGCCTTCTGAATATTGTCCTTTAGTAGGTATCAATACAGAGATTTAAACGGTTCTTTCTTAAAATACCATAATATTTCTTCTAAAGTTCTTGCTTTAAGGGATAAACTCTTTCATCACATTATCAATAGTTTCATTAACGTCAAAAAATCACTAGACTTTGAGGAAAGTTTATAGTCTTAGGTAAAAAATAAGTCTTTAAAGGGTGGGGAATATAATGAAATATGATGGGATTTAATAAAAAAAAGTGTCATCATAATTTCAATTTTTTAGCTCCAAATATCCATATAATTTTTCTTTTCGGCCCAACATTTTGCGGAAAATCTTTTCATTAAGCATATCTAACTT